ATTATTAGTCTCAATCTTCGAGTTGATTTATTCAAAACTTTCAATTGTTATTTACTCAAAAACTGAAATTTATCTCAGAGGGTCATTTTCCTAGCAAAAATCCCATTTTCTAAATCATCATTATCATCAAAGTCGATTATGATTGCAGTTATAGGATCTTCTATTGGTGGTTTCTTATTATTTTTTGGAGGTCTCTTTTTATATAAATGGAATAAAAATAAAAAAGAAAGCAAGACAACTCTTGGGGGTGAAACAAAAGATGATCATGAAAATATGACAATACCTACAACTAATCATGAACAAGTAATCTAACAAATACCTGGAAATGAGGATTATACAAATAATATGTTATATAATCATGAACGAGAAGCAACTCCAAGTTTTGATGATCAAGGGAAATCTTTACAAAATATTGATACGATTTTAGACAATTTTAAGAATGAAATACTCCAAGAGGTCAGACAAGAAGTCACGCAAACTTTAAGAAAAGATGCATCACAAAATGGTAAATAAGTTTTCAATTGGAATTGTTCCTAAATAATTGGGTTATTTTCCAAAAATCGTCTTTTTGTGTAAATAACCCTGAAAATAGAATTTACGAGTATTGCAATGCGAAAATTTTTTATGAGAAATATTTAAGACTAATATAAACAAATGAAAATTATTTTCATGAATTATTTATTTTTACATTTTACGAACAATTCGTTTTAAATTTGTTTATAATAAAAAATACTTTCAATAATATATAAATATTAAATTAGACCATTGTACGCGTTACTTTCTGTAAATTATATTTTAACATAATGCTTGTTCTTATATGCGTGATAACATTGTATTATTGATCACAACCTGTAAAAAAATATCACAAAGCTATAGTAATATTAACAGCGTAATACTTGGAACAGTACTGAATTTTATATATTAAATAAATCAATCTTCGAACTTTTTTAATTTTTATGAATACTTATCAATGCATCATATAACCCGAATCTTTCTTGATAAAATTGATATTTGAATAGTCTCATACTCTGCATAATAACTCTATTGGTCCATAAGCACATGTTTACTTTTAAAAAAAACAAGCGTGGCGTGGCACAGTATTTTATGAAATTTCTGTTAAAGAACGCGTTTATTTAAAAATTGATCGTTTTATGAATAATAAATATTTCTATATTTATTTGAAAAACAATATTATCAACAAAACTTTTAAAGTATATAAAAGAAAGAGAAAAAAAAAGGATAGAAAGAAAGTAGTTTATTATTGAAGTGTAACGATAAACAAATAAAATCAGTTGTGTCCCGTTCATTAGGCTGTAAAAAATAAAAAATATTTTGTCAAAATTGATCTGCAAGGCATACCGAAATTTACCTGAACGATCTTTGGGCAAAATTATCGTTTTTTATATCAATTTAACACAAAAATTATATTAGTAAATAGATATATAATGTCCTTAATAATTTCACTCTTTTTTTATGATCATAAATTTGTATCATTAATTATAAAGCCTCAACAAGCCTTCTGCGTCTATTCAAAAATATAAAAAACGATGGGTCATTCAATTAATTATATTAAAAGATTGAGAATTTCGCAATTTATTAAAATTCAACCTTAAGTATTTCAATACAAAAAAATATTATTCATGGCTGATGAATTAAATCGAGAAATCTCGAACATTAATCAGTTCGACAGTTGAACTCATGAACATTTTCGAGATCAAAATATGTAAATTTTGATCGGTCAAACTAATGACGGTTATTCGAAAAATTACCATACTGCGGAATAAATCAACTACGTGACCTTGATGTACTAACGAGTATTTAGATATTAATATTTTGATATCATTGCTTTGATGATTTACTTTTATTATGTGGTATATACAGTATATTTCTTTATTCCCTTTAAATTCCAATAAATTAGTATCAAATAAAATATTTCTAGCACGTGTTGAAAAGTCTGTCATAAATTTATTTAGATAAGGTTTTGTTACATCTATTGGAATTATATTTCTTTATATATGAATCTTGGTACCAATTCAAATATATAAGCACAGTAAAGTTCATCTAACTAGCCTTACCGGTCAAATGAATAATAATAGCAAAAAAAAAATTCCGAATATCACAAATAGCTGCATATATATCAAATTTTTCTTTCATACAATTAGATTTCTGAGTTTAACTACTTTTATAATATACGAATTTTATTTCGAAACTGCAAAAAATGTAATATAGTAATATCACAAACAAAAAAAAAAAAAAATACTTCCGATTCTAGTTTAAGCAGTTCATTAAGTTAATTACATTATTGGTATTTGGAATATTGTTAGATTGGAATATTAAATTCTATATTGAAGTTAAGGTGGAATATTATATTTTCAAATTTAGTATATAATTTTATTTAGTTTAATTTTTAGGACTATGCGTTACTGATAGATAAAACGCATATTGTAACACATGATGCAAAGATTCTTTATATTACGATAAATGAAAAAATTTGAAATTGAATTTTTGAAAATGAATCCATAAGCGCGAGTTTCGAGACTTGGTTAATAAATTTCGATAGATTTTTTCCGCTTCGACGATTTGGCATAAAAGAAAAAATAAAATACAGGATGCTACGAATTCGGGAAAATGAACGGTTAAACACACAAGTCGTTTCTTAAAGTTAGACTAATGGCAATGGAGTATTTCTGCTTTCATTTCATAACGCGAACATCTTGTAAGTGTATTTATTATTCAACCTCTTCTGATAAATGGCGACGAAATAATATCAATTATTAAAAAAAAAAGCATGTGGTGAAAGATGTCTTGTTTTAGCCATTTTAAATGTCAATTTCTTGTAATCTGGGTATAAATAAGCCACTTTTATGGGAAACGTTTAAACGTTCTTGCTTCAATCTTGTTTCAATAAAATTGAATGCTTTGTATATAAAAAAAAAAAAAACCGACAAAACGTTGAACTAGTCACTCGAATTTTACAAAGTTCCAGATCAATACAAAAAAAAGAGCTTGCTTTATTTATGAGATAAAGTTACTTTTACAGTATTAATATAGTATTTGAAAATGAATTCATTCCACTAGTGCTATTACGAGAAGTTTCTTTATCATTTTGCTGTAAGTTTATCCTCAGAAATGACTTAGCAAGAATGGAGAATAAAAGAAAATAGGGTTAATTAATGAACGCATTCGTTACGGTAACATGAACGGTTGAACTCACTAGTTCCGTCATCAACCTTGGTAGTAGGAGAATCGCCAACGACATAAGATTGTTTATTAGATTGATCCAGTCCTAAAACTTTTAGAATGTAGCCCACTTTATTATTACCGTGTCCAACTTTGTCTGAAAGATTAGTGAAAAAAATTGTCAAATTAGTACATAAACAAAAAAGCATGCGGATTTAAATAAATAGCAAGAATTGTACCTCCTTTATTGAATTTTGCCATTTCAAATATTAAATGTCAGTGTTATTCTGTGTATTGAAAATTTCGTTTCAAAAAATTCGTTGTAAGCAGACGAAACAAAATAACACCCTATTTAAACATTTTTATTTCCTAAGCTCGTGATTATGAGAACGTCTGACATTGTTGATATTTGTCAAGAAAGATTACACATATTTTTATTTATTAAACAATAAAGTAACTGTATATTCTGTATATTTTAAATTTTAATGAATAATTATGGTTTTGACAAATCCCACGTGCGAATCTTATTTTCTTCTTCACATGAGAAATAAGATTAAAATTTCATAGTTCTAGCAATTTCGCCCGAAAGTAGAAAATAATTTTCGCCATGAAATAAAAAAATCATGCATGAAGGATTCTGCAACCTTTGAAAATGTGATGTGCACCATTAACTTTTGTATTTAGTCATATTGAATAGTGCACAAGAAAGTCTATTGTTTATAATTAAGACGAACTTATATTAGTTAGCATGGATGTGAGGACGCCTCGAGTTAAATAATTCATCCAATCATTACATTTTTTCATGGGAAAAAAAATTATTTTTTCCGAGTAGTCTATTCATGATTGTTTGGTCGTTAAAAATAATTGTAAGCAAGTGATTTCCTGAAAATCTAATTCTGTTAATGAATCTCATATCTCATCTTTTATTAGGAATTTTACAATAAAAATGACTATATTTTATTTATTCAAAAAATTAGATTCCTTTATTTGAAAACTATGTTCATAATTTGATAAATTTATTACAAGTAAAGATTCATCATGTTGGTTTTTGGGACAAAATATTATTCATTCGTATATCAAATTAAATAAACCTATAATGCATTACACATGTGAATTCTGATAATCAAATAAAATAAAGATGTTCAATAAATGGTCCGCCCAAAAAACATATTTAATTCTGGCAATGATCTTCAAATAGTTTTTCCGGATAATGTTCAAATCTCATCTTTTTGATATTTTGTACGAAAAATGACGCATATTTTTTTATTTTATTCAAATAATTAGATCCTTTGTTGAAAGCTGGTATGATCTTAAATTTTCTTTAAATTATTAAATATTCAAGATGATCTTCTTCTTCACATGCAACAAAAGATTTCACAATCCTTGTAATTTCGCCCAAAAGTAGAAATAATTTTTCGCCATTACTATTCCTTTCGGAGAAAATCGTAAAATACAAGAATCATGCATGAAGAATTTCTGCAACCTTTTGAATTTCTTAAATGATATTGATTTAGTGCACAAGAAAGTTCATTACGAACTTTATTAGTTCGCATGATTATGAGAACGCCTCGAATTGAATATTCATCCAATCATTACATTTTTTCATGGGAAAAAAAAATTATTTACAATAAAAAATTATATTTTTATACGAGCGAATTAGATTTTTCTTGATTGGTTTGGCCACTAAAAATAATTGCAAGCGATTGTTAAAAAATCTAATTCTGTTAATGTATTTCAAATCACACCTTATATTATTCAAATAATTAGATTCCTTTGTTTGAAATCTGATATAATTTTTAAATTTTTAATGTAAGAAAAGTTTAATATAGCTTTGGGATTACATACCATGTGTATATAAAATTTAAATTAGTTATTGTAAATTACAATGTAAATCTTATAATCCAACCTTCTTCATATGAGAAAAAAGATATTCAATAATTACAAAAATCATGGTCTTACGTTCGACCAAAGCAGTAATAAATTTTCGCCATCACTATTCTTGTAATTCACTCGGAGAAAATCATAAATAAAAGAATGTTACATTCATTTCTGCAAGAAGAAAGTACATTGTCGTAATGCAGACGAACTTAAGCAAGTTGGAAATTAGTCATGTTTTTCATGTGAAAAAATAATAATGTTTCTTCCCGTCTTTCCTTGGTAGTTCACCAAAAAAGCATTAATTTAATCTGGTAATGATCAACACATAGTTTTTCCGGATAATTTAAAATCTCATCTTTAAGATATTTTGCAAGAAAAATGACGGCATATCTTTTATTTATTCAAATAGTTAGATCCTTTGTTTAATAGTTGATATGTCCTTAAATTATTAAATGTTTAAATATTAAAAAAATATTTAATTTAAATTTTAGCACGAGACAGGATTCATCATAATGTTTAAGATAAATATCATATTACACGAATAAATCTCATAATCATCTTTTTCATAGGTAAAAGGATGTTTAATAATTAATAAATTTGTAGTCCTTGTAAGTTCTCCCAAATAATAGTTATGCTCCGAAATGGTCGAGTCGACCCGGGTGACCCGGATGATCAGGCGATCTGATTTAAACAATATTGACGCGCGCTAGACTTTTTTTACGTTACGCGACTTAATTTATAACAAATAAATAATAAATAGACCTATCGACTTTGCCGATCTTCTAGAAAACGAAAAGCATTGCGGAGTAACAATTACAGTCAGGTATAAAAATAAATTAAACATTAACTAAAAACATTTTTTATAAAGCAACAAGTGTTCCAGTAGAACTAGTTTTTTCTGGCGGTACCTATCTGATATCAACCAAAAGATGAGTGGTCTTAAAGCTAATACAATTCGCCTGTATGTGCTTGAAATTCTGGTGGAAAAAGATGTAAAAAAAAAAAAAATAGAATTAGGATTAATTCTACAAAAAAAAAAAAAAAAAATTTTAAAAAAAAAATAAACTTTATACTGTATAACACTATAGAATATTATAAGCAAAAAAAATGCTGAAAAGCTTGTCACGTTTTGCTTAAACTAATATGTAGAAGTTTATTGTTTTCTAATTGTTTGGAATTTAACCAACAAATTCAATTTACAGCCTTTTTTTTTCGAAATGACACACTGCGGGTAACTCAGGCGCAACGATCGATGATTTTAAAAATAATCTTGCGCCATTTCTTTTTCTTTATATTCCTCTTCGAAATCGGATGGTTTCTGTTATAATAGATGCTTTCGTTGTTTTATATGTTACTCCAAAATTATTTTGTACTTTATTAATTAAATTGTATAATTAAAAAAATGATAAATATGTTGATAAAATAAAACTAATATGGCCAAATCAACCGAAATCCGTCGAAATTCTCAAAATTATCTTGAAAAGTCTTGAAAAATAAAGAATTTTTTTTTTTGTTTATAAAAAAAATATTTTAAATAAATAAATTTAAAAAGTAATAAAATAATGTAATGATATGTAGGCAGCGCCGAATCGGGTAAGTATTTTATAAATAAAACCGCCTTTTACGTCTTTTTTCTTGATTTTTAGGCAGTGTCGAGGCGCAGCGTCGAATCGGGTAAGTATTAAATTTTTTCTTTCTACCATCATCGTACTGGATTGGTTATATAATTATTATAGGACCAGTACGGTACGGTACGATGTCAAATTTCACAAAATTACTGATCTGCATAATCGTACCGTACTTACTGGTCTGGCGAATCGTACCGTACCGGTTTTCTATCTATCCATATTTACATTCCATTCCATTAACAAATTTACTCAATTTTCAATTTTCAAAATTCCAAATATATTTAAATAAAAAATTATATTAAATAATAAATATTGAAAACAAGTAGAAATTTGATCATAGTTTACAATGTGTTGTATCAACTTGATTTCATATTTGCATAACTTGAAATACTTCATATTCTTCAATAGAAAAATCATTCGTAGATTCCCTGATGTTTTTTTCATAATCAGACTTTACACAACTACCACTACTTAAACCATTTAGAAAAGTAATATTAAGATCTGTTTTACCGAATGACGGACCTTTTAAAAACTCATATTTTATAGCAAACTCATTATATTTTGCCCGACTAAGTATACAATTTTCAACGTTATTTTTAACGTTAAATGAGAATATAAAACTTTTTTTATTGCTTTCATAAATTGTACCATGCAATTTATATTTTTTCCATGTCATAGGATTGTACCCTCCAAGTATTTCGTCACTATCTTTTACTTTATAAATCGTTACCGTAGGAGATTTATTCTCACAAAGCTCAAAGAACTTTCCAAATCCATCACGAGATCCACGAAGTAATAACCTAAACACACTTGGATTTTTTAATTTTTCTTGAACATCTATTCCATTAATCCATTTTGAGATTATTTCACTATGTTTATCTGTAATAATTTTCGAATCAATCTTTTTCGGGTCTATCCTTTTAATCTTTTTAGTTATCTGAGGTTTTAACTCGTCACTTAGCCTATAATCATTGTCTAAAAAGCGCTTAACTAAATCTAAATATAATTCTTTTGGTAATGCTTTCTTGTATGGAAAAACTTTACTCAAAAACTCCTTGGAAGATAAGTTGTAGAATCCAATAGATGGAATGCATTGTTGTAAGGTATTCTTCAAAGCATTAAAGTCATCTTTTGTATATTCAGAAGGATCTGAAGAAATTTCCGGATTTTGAGCGATCCCCCATTTAAGAACATGTTCCCAAACTTGAACATCATTCATCGTAAGGTTTTCATTTTGAATAAGTGCGACCAAAGATTTTTCTGGAATAGAACAAAAATCAACGGACTTGAATATTTTTTCAGGTTCCTTGGACATTACATTGGTACAAAACTTTTGAAGTTCCAAGAAAGTATCATGTTTAAAACTTGTTTGATATATCAAATTAAAATTTTGTTCCATCCATGTTGCCTTATTTTCAATCAAAAATGATTGCAAATGGGTGACTAATTCTTGAAGACTTAATTCATTGGCGGCAACCATGATATTTAAAATTTCTGTAATATCATATTCCTTCAAAGAAAGCTTAGCGCCATAAATATACCTTGAAATAAAAAAATTTTTTATGGTAAAAATTAAAATATGTATTTAAAAAAAAAATTCATATTTACCATTCTTTCAAATTACCTCAAGATTATATGAAAAGTTTCAGGAAGAATGTTTGGTAAATTAATATGAGACAAAGTTCCATAACTTTTCGTTTTATTATTGGTGGACAAAATCCTTTGCAAATACGGAGAACGGTAATATAAAATTAT